GAACATGGTCGGAAATTGGATAGCAGTATCGCGGAGATCTTCGAGGCGATCAGGTTGATGAAAGAAGCTGGTGCGTCTACGAGTCACACCGTAGCACCACCGGGAACGGTACAGACACCGGAGCTCAATGTCGGCAACAATACGCCGGTAAATGGTGGAAGGTTAGTGCCGAATCAAGGTTATCAAGCAGGAACTCGACTTGGCAAGTTAGATTTTCCTCGATTTGATGGATCTGGAGTTACAGAATGGGTCTCTAAAGCTGTATGTGGACCATTATACCTTAGCTTTCTATATGCATGAGCGAGATTGACCACAATAGGTTCCCAGATTTCAGTTAATGCAGATGGTATATGAGCCAACGTCTTCTCAAACCACCGCACAGCTTTACCATACCTGACATGTAGTGAATGTTATTGACTCAAGTTACAGGATAAGCAGACTGTAAAGAGAAAAGGAACACACTCTTTCATATGATATGCAACAACTCCGAGTTCATTATAAACAAGTGGGCATAAAAGCTTGCATGAAAAACTGGACCAAGAGAACAAATCAAAGTAAATACAATATTAGCACAAAAGATCAGTCATATAATTTGAAAATTCCACACAGCAAACTGTAACTTGTTACCTGTTCCGCAAGCTTGTAGCTGTGAGTTCGCATATACTCCATTCCAATGTACAGAGTTGGCAAATGACACCTGGAACAAGATAATATCAAGAATCAACCTGTAAAAGACAATTTGTAACGTAATAAGAAGACCTCCACAATGCTTCAGGGCTTAGAATGATACATGTAGCAACTATATTGTTATAAGGAGCAGGATCAGTTTGAAATGGTACGAGAGGTGCATATTGAAATTGAAATCAACGAAATAAATCACGTATTTAGGATGGAATCGGCCAAACACTTTTTGATTACGAGCCACTAGGAGTATGATCGTTGTCGATCTTGTTTTTTTGAAAAAATTTTAAAAGAAATTTTTACTCATTGTTCAACTTGGTTATAACATGTACATTAACAAATTTTGAGTTTCGTTTCTAATGGGCTTTGATAGTTTCTATTTCTAATTCAGTGTTCGGTTGATTGGGTTGAATTTGTAATCAATCATTGTTCAACTTGGTTATAAAGGCCACTAACAAAAAAATGTGTAAATGTTTAACACACGAAAATGTTGGATATGCTTATATAAATATAGAAAAGAAGTCAAAATATTTGTAATAAAAAAACTATAAGGGTGTGTTTGTAAAAATGTATGAACACAGAGACTTTTTTACCGTTCATGTAACTATAAAACTTAATTTGATTTTCAAGTTGCTATTTGGAGTTGATAAACTTCAGTTTGGTGTATATTTTTTTGTACATCTCTAAGTTATAGACTGTATTTTGAGAATAAAGTCGAAATCCCATTAAGCATCTACACTTCTCAAAGGTTATTGTCTCTCAAGTTTCTAGATGCGAGGATGCCCAATACCGAGATTGTATCCTTACCAAGCCTCAGAATCTTTAAGCTTGAGTATGTTATATTTCCTAGTGACTGGGTCTTCGAGCTCCTTATCTCGCAATCCCTCCTCCTTGAGCGATTGACAGTCAAGCAGAAGCATGAAGACAATCTAAAAATACTCTATGTACACTCGAAATCGTTTCTTAGCTTATGTTTTGTGGGACTGCAAGAGTTCGATATTGATGAAGTAGTTACCCTTTGGATTGATGCTCCCAAGCTGCACTACTTGAGCATTGTGAGGGATGCAACGAATTGGTTTAAAACAAAGGGCTTTGGGGCACTTGTAAAGCTTGACTTAGACACCAACTTCAATCTGACTTCTTCAGATTTGAAGTCAGATGATATATCCAAAGGGTCATCTCATACTCTCTTGAAATGGAGGGAAACAATTGTATAAAGATCAAAAAGAGGGGGGGTTTTAAGAGAAATTATAGAACTTGAGATAGTCGTTTGTAAAAAAGTCAAAAAAATATAGGGGGCTTATAGTATATATAGAAAGGGAGAGAAACATTAGTAAAAAGGTCAAAAATGGGGGGGGCGTTAATAGAAATATAGAACTTGTTTGTAAAAAGTTAAAAAAATATGGGGGTTTGTAAAAATAAAAAAAATAAATAGTATGAAATAGAAAAAAAAAATTGTAAATAATTACGTTCATGACAAAAAGGAAAATCATTTTTAGTGACATTTAACAAAAATACCATACTTTTAAATTTTTTACAAAATACCACTTTTTTAAAAATTATTTTTTTTATATAATTTTTGTTTTAGTTAAATATGTTCTATTATGATTTAGTTATGAGGGTTTAGAGGTCTAAATTTTTTTTTTAGTGTTTAGAATTTAAGATATAGTGTCATTTTTACAAATGAACATACCTAAATGGCATTTTTGCAAATGTGCATATAAAAAATGGTATTTTTGCAATTTCTCCATCTATTTTTTATATAGGATGTTTTAAAGATTTTTTTTTTGTTTGTTAATATAAAATATTTTTACTTTTCAATGCGCCATTAATTAATCTTTTAGTGTTTTTGACTAGATTGCACTAAGACGGATATAGGGACAAGAAACGGAAACGGTAATACTAAAAATTTATGGATACGGATACGGTAGGGATACGTCAATAGATATATAAAAAAATATCCATGAATACATATAAAAAAATTACATCATAATTCTCAGTATAAAAGAACACTCAATCAATATAATAATAGAATTAGAGTTATTTTGATGTTAACAATAGAGTTTAGATTACAAAAAAAAGATGTATTAGAGATAGAAAAGCATACGGTGATCAGAGTAACGTAATTTGAAGAAACAAACCTTGTTGACTTGTAGAGAGTTAAGAATCGAGACTGTTTGAAAAACGAATGTCGATTATATATGAGATGTATAATAAATTTGAAACCCTATTTCATAATAATGTTTTTATTTTATACATTTCGTTTTCATTTTTTCCTTAAAAAAATTAACATATATAACAAACAAACGGAAATACTAATTTTTAACATAATACGTTTAAGAAACGTCTCTAATTTCGAAAGGTTTCAACTCTGTTAATTGCCGACGTCCCTAACATGTTAGAGTCATCTCGAGGATGTTTCGGTGGTGTTTTCGAATCGTACCCTTCTCCGGGACGTTTCCGGTACGAGAAACGGCACCAAAACAAAGTACCCATGCTTCATAGGTTTTTGACTTTTTAAATTTTGTATATTGATTTATTATTAGTTGAAATATTTTGGGTAAATAAAAAGTGATGTTTTATTTAAAAAAACAAGAAGAATTAAATAATTCTTAAAAGGAGTGAAAAATCTTAAACATTCTATATTAAAAAACAGAGGGAATATTTCTCATATTATTTTGACTTTTTTCTGTGATTTTCTGAATTTGAATTGTTAATGGATATTGATGGTCGGATAGTAAATACGTCATTTGTTCTTCCTTTTTTAATTAGAAATTAGAGTGAAATATATATATTTTCACCATAAACAGTTGAAATCTTAAATAAAAATATAAACTATTTATTCATTCCGTTTCGCAAAGACTGTCATTCTACAATTTTATTTTTGTTTCATAAAAAGTGTCATTTTGTATTTTAACTAATTAAAAAACTAATAACTTCTAATATACAAATCCTACAAAACCTAAAATCAAAAAACTATTCTTTATATAAGACATTTTTACACAAAAACCCACATGTACAACAAACCAATTCGAACACATTCTTTTTGTTGTCTGTACTCAATATTCAAAACCATCGAATTAAAATCAATAAATAAATAAAACTGTAGGGAACAACCAGTAAGTAATAAACAAAAGTTCCGGGAAAAAGATGCAATAATCCAAGTGTATAAAAAATTAAAGGTAGAGAAAAAGGAATCGAATTAAAATCATCGAAGAAGAGCACCCCAGATTTGAGAGACGACGAKGGAAGTGTTCTCGGCCTCCAAAATCTTCTCTCTCTCTCTCAAAAACCCTAAACTCTCTTAGATCGATCGAAATATTCAGTGTCCGATTATGGCCAACAGTAATCTCCCTCGAAGAATCATTAAGGTTTGTTCTCCAATCCCATTTGACGAATCGATACGATCTCTATTTGGGTTTTTTCGATGTGGAATCAGACAGAGCATGAGTTAGCTGTGTCTGAGCAGAATTTTGATATCTCTGTCCGATCTTGTTTTCTAATTCTTGTTTTCCTTGCGATCTGATAGGAAACTCAGCGTCTGCTCAGTGAACCTGGTAAATTCTTTGATTCTTCCTGTCTTGTTGAGTTATAGTGTTGATTTCAGCTGATAATGCTAGTTTTGATTGTTGAATTTTGGGTTCAAAATGATGGAGTTTAAATTTTGGTTATAGAGTTCTGATTTTAATGGAGTTTCTTCAATTGCAGCTCCTGGTATTAGTGCCTCTCCATCTGAGGATAATATGCGGTATTTCAATGTTATGGTTCTGGGTCCTTCACAATCACCTTATGAAGGTAAATTGCTTATATGATGATGTTAAGGGGCTTTCTAGTAATGAGTTTGACTACTTCTTTAATGCATACCACTGTAATTTGTCTTATTCTCACCACATTTGATTTGTTTGCTTGTGCTGTTGCGGAGTAGATGCTGAGTTTATTTTGAACTTTTTTTTCTCCTTTGAATCAAGGCTGCTTATTTTTTAAAGTTTACATTTTACCGAGTGATGTATGCCAATCATTTGCTTCATTTCATCTTCTAGGAGGAGTGTTCAAGTTGGAGCTCTTTTTGCCTGAAGAATACCCCATGGCAGCACCCAAGGTAAGTTGCTTGGATTTTGAGTTTCTATTTTCCTGAATACATGTTATGAAGTTATGCATTCCTCCTCTCATTCAATGGTGACTTGAGTATATTGTCATAAGACTCTAGTTATTAAGTAGGTTAAACTGTTGGAGTATTTGTAAATGGACCAATAATCTCTGACAACGGTGCTTCTGGTTGTAGTATGACTGACCCGATTGTAATGTGACATTTCTTGTCATTGTTTCTCTTGTCATATAATTAATGGATTCAGTTTTTTAACATTGTAATTGTTTGGAGATGGTTTGTGTAGAGACTATCCTTTAATACTCATGGGATTTTAAATGATTTGATTTGTAACAGGTTAGGTTTCTCACAAAGATCTACCATCCTAACATTGATAAGGTCTGTTTTAAAATCCTCTCTTTTTTTTGTTTTTTTCCTTTCACAATCGACCAAAACCAAACACATGTTCCTAAACTTGTCTACTTACTTACATTTACAGCTTGGAAGAATCTGTCTTGATATTCTGAAGGACAAATGGAGCCCTGCACTACAAATACGAACTGTGCTCTTAAGGTACATAAATTGATTACATCAGATCTTCTCCTGCCAAAAACCATTGTTTTCTTGTGGCTTCACTGCATTCTCTTATTCGATTGATGTGTTGTCCTAAAAAAAGTATTCAAGCTCTTCTGAGTGCACCAAACCCTGATGATCCATTGTCTGAGAACATTGCTAAGCATTGGAAGAGTAATGAGGCAGAAGCTGTGGAGACAGGTGATAAGTTGTAAACTCAAAACTCTGAACTTAAACACTTTTCACTCTTAGTTCTAACTTTCTAAGCCATGTTTTGGTATCTCACATTTTTTGTGAACGATCTGCGCAGCTAAGGAGTGGACCCGTCTTTACGCCAGCGGCGCATGATGGATTGGAGGGTGAAAAAATCTCTTTCATCCAAAAAACAACTTTACATTTGGTGAAATCTATCTCAACATCAAAGCTATAAGAAAGCTTATATTTTGCTGGTTCCTCCCCCTCATTATTATAAAAAATGTGTGTTTCGGCACAAGAAAAGCTGTAATCTCTCTGGATTATTGTATTATTAATAGGGTCAAGACTCGTTTACCCATATTTGAAATTCGTCAAGGTAACGTTGCGTCAAAAGATCTGCTTATCTACTGTGTCTAATCTCTGTAAATTACGATAAAAGTTGGAGTTTGTGAAGGAACGCATTCATGAGATGACGAGAAACACTTAAAACAGATTGTACATGGCCAATTACGTGTTGTATGTTGAGGAAGTCATTTGTTTATGAGTTTTGGTGGAGGAAGAATTGGTAATCGATAATTATGAAATGATAACAAACATAATTCACATTCGGTCCATTACGTTCCAAACAACAAAGATTATCCCATTATATTAAGACACAAATTCGGTCGAAAAAGAATAACTAGCAGAGCTTTACAATTACAAACCATAAAGGCAAAGAAGAGAAGTTGCACACAACACAACTCGAGTCGTAGAAAGACACATCCATCATCATCCTAATGTAATAACTCGATAT